TGGGGACAGAGCTTTCATGAGCAGTATCTACCCCTGTCTTTTGGGGATTAATCTCTCTGTGCAGAGCAGAAATGTGCACATTCATATTCATACAATATAGCTGTTGAAAATAGGAAGGGAAGGAGCTGTTTGGCTGTGAGAAATCAAAGGTTGTTCCTTTTCACATATCTGTTCCATTAATAAACTATTGTTTCAATGGAAAAGAAGTGTGGTGTCTATTTGTTGGTGAGTGAGTCTAGATAAAAGTGTTTCCAAACTAAAGGACAGGAGGCCTGTGCATTCCTGGTAAGTAGAAACAAGCCATATAGTCTTCTCTCGTAGACCCGTCTCCTCTTGCCAACTTTCATACAAGCCACGCACAGTGGAAGCGTTTCATAAGCAGGGCATTAAAGCCTTCAGCTCTTTCAGGAAAGCCATTGGAGAGGGTAGGGAGCCTGGATGGGATGGACCCACTGAAGACAAGAGACACGCTTTGAAGAGATAAGAGTGCCAACTCTCATTCATGGTCAAAATGACCTCCAATATGTTCAAGAAGTCACCTCTTGTTCACAGAAGTAATTTAAGCACTCACCCTTTAATCTGGGTCATATATCTCACTTGGTACAGAATCTCTGCTTTTCTAAAATATGAAGTATACTGACTTTGTCAAGGCTTTTACAAATTTTCAATCACAGTGGCCAAATTAAAATGCTTTCCAAAGTGTGACTGAAGTTGGGAGTTGGGATGCATGATTGGCTAAGTTCTATTTTTTACATATCAAAAAACCCCAACTCCATATGTTTTACCAGCTCATTGAACTGTGTTGGCAAAGAATAGATAATTATATCTAGGAATTACTGATACTATATGATTCTTGGATATCATATTTTGATAATGTATTTCAAACTAACAAAACAGAACACACACACACACACAAAGAGTGAGATAGACAGATAGATAGATAGGTAGATATAGATAGATAGATAGATAGATAGATAGATAGATAGATAGATAGAGCAAGCCCAAACTGGCAGTTTCTGCCTTGATGGATGCATTTTACATTTAAACATGATCGTTAAAATTTCACAGGTGACAAACTATGTCAACCAGTTGTGTTGCCTTCAAAGGCAAACATTCCATCATTATAATGAATGAAATCATGGTCTGGTCAGGAATGCTAGTGACCTCTAGCCAGCGAACCACTGATCCATAGATAGATGAGAATCAGCTCTAGTAAATGAGGCAGAAGTTTTCCCAGCATAACTTTGCATGCTAACAAGGCAGATTCTTGTTATAATTAAAAGAGATAGAATGATCAGTAGGGAACCCTTAATAGAAACACACATTACTGCCAAAATGCTCTTCTTGTTCATTCTTTATTCTCATATTATACCATATATATAGCTTTAAAAATGACACAAACATTGCACATAAAAATCACACACATAGATTTGTCCAGCACAGCCAAGCAAAGAGTCATTTAAAATATCGACATTGTCAATAGCCAATTTATTCAGAGTAAATCTCCATCTAAATCCATACTGTATAATGAAGTAGCATTAAAATGAACACTTGAAATGTGTCCAGTCCTAACTGGGTGCACTGTGTAAACAAACACAAAGACTGCCCCAGGAAAATAGAAAGATGTAAAACTTTTCAATGAGCTTTATATGGGTTATTTTATGGGTTATCTGTTTATACAATTGTATTCTGGATGTCCTAGTTAAAGAAATTTTTTTTTTATTTTAAGACAGGGCTTCTCTGTGGCTTTAGAGGCTGTCCTGGGACTAGCTCTTGTAGACCAGGTTGGTCTCGAACTCACAGAGATCCGCCTGCTTCTGCCTCTCGAGTGCTGGTATTAAAGACATGGGCCACCACCACCCTGCTGAAGAAAATTAAGAGGCTTTCACCTATTGTTTTTTCCTTTTGCTTTTATTTCTAAAGTGGCTAGTAGGGCTTACATTGTAACTCTAGTTCTAATGTGGCTAGTAGGACTTACATTGTAACTCTAGTTCTAATGTGGCTAGTAGGGCTTACATTGTAACTCTATTGGTCAAAGAAGTCAAGACTGTGGCTTAGTGGTATAGCATTTGCTGACCATACACAAGGCCTAGAGTTTAATCCCCAGTATAAAAAAGAAGTATAGACAAGCAGAATACAGGTAGAAATCAAATAGAATTGAAATATGAATCTATAGCAAGTGACGGTTTCATGACAACTAGCCACAGAGTTATTGATACTTTAGTAAGTTATTATTTCCATATCTCCTATACGAGAACACTTCTCTAAATATCTGCTTGATAGCTTCCTAAAGGAACTATGAGAAAAGGGATGCTCTAGGAGTAGTTGTATTTAAAGTTATATTTAGGCTATAGAAACAGTGGGGCAGAGTCACACCTCCGCAGTCTCCGGAGGCCACAGGATTGCTCAAGGGGAGCTTCTGTTGAGATACCAGGGTCAAGCCCCGTACCGTCTTTTATTAACAGGATTTCCACTTAGCTGTTAAGAGAACCTATCAGAAGGCTCTCTTCTTTCAATCAAGTTGATGAAACACCATTGACTGGGTACGGGTGGCATCTTGACTGATACCATGCGGCCCACACGCTACACTGTGATGGGGGTGGGAATGTGCACTTCAGAAGTACAGCATGTTTAAATGTATTAAACATGTGCTTTTTTGAGAATTCCATGGGGGTTATTTATTGTATAGTTTTCCTAACATTCTTTCATGTTTTACTGAAAGATATTTTAATTTCATTTATTATTTTATTTTATTTTTTTGCTCAGGCAGAAAAAAAATTACATCATTAGTATATGTCTCTGGAATTCAAAATAAATGAAGCTTTAATGTGTGTATTCCCGTGCATTTGTTTGTGTTTACTTAATATGTATATCCTACAGTATAGCAAGGGCTGTCATCACAGACAAAACAAAAAATGTAAGCTTTTTCTTCACCAAGCTGGGAAGAAATGTACAGGAGAGCAAGAAGGCCAAAGCAATTTGTGAGGTGGGCGGTGGTATTATAGAAACCCTGCTCAGCTCTGCTAATCCTCATAGAATGCAAGCAATGAGGACTTGATTAGAATAACTTCCCAGGGAAGGCCAGCACAAGAGACAGCCACAGGAATTATGCACCGAACCACAAGAAGAACACATGTACGTACCTGTGGGTGCTGAAGGAAAGCAAGGCAAAGCGTATGGAGTAGGACATAGCATGCTGCAAGTGCTAAGAAAACAGGGTGCTGTTGTTTTGAATCCCAGGCTGCAGCAGAAGCCACATTTAACTCAAGTTCACTGTCATAAACACAAGGCCTCTGGAACGGTCCCTGTCATTCCCTGCTTTTGTCTGAATTCCTTTGTGAGAAGCTTTATTCAGCTTTTAGCTGCTGGTGACTCACCGTGAAATCATCTCACTCATCTATTTTCCTTTTTTATTTTTTAATACAGTTGCAAATCACACAATATTGTGCTTTGTTCTCCCTCCTTCCCCCACCTCCAAGGAAGCTGCGCCACTGTCACAGCCCGGCTATCTTGATGAACCAAAGCCATTTGGAGAAAGTAGCTGTATCCACTTCATCAGATCTAGTTGATGATAATTTCTTAAGAAGCTGAAGACTAATTCTTAGGGATTTTTCTGGAGCCCTGTGAAAATTCCTCACTCTGTAGCCCATGTGAGTTGGAAGTCGGTACCAAATGACTCCTTACAAGATATAAGGAATGTTGCAGAAATATAAATGGGCCAGGGCTGAAATTTAATTAGATACTGCATATGTTAATAATAAATTCAATTAATTTCACCTTCTACCTATACCAGAAAAGAAGCTCAGGCAAAATAATAATTCACCTTAAATAGCTCAACTGGGAGTCTCCTTCCTGAAGAGTGATTTATGCAGTAATCTACTGACTGTCTTCATGAGATTGCTCCAAACCAGCCCTTTGAAATAATAATAACTTCTGGATGTATGTAGCGAGAGATACAACAAATGACTTCTTATGCATTTTCATTTAATGAGTTGCCCATTCTCATGATAATTTTTTAAACGTCTGAAACATGTTATAAATACTGTGGCTAAGGCTTCCATTTTGCAGAAATCATGGCAGACAATCTCCCCTATTCCCTACCTGAGTTGATTGCAGGATTTGTGTATGGCTGACATGCATTTCTTTGACAGTTATCTCAGCAGATTATTTTTAAATTTTTGTAGCAAGTAATTCCATATTGCTTAAATATAAAAACAGGACATTTATCAACAGCAAGGATTTTTAGCAGTGAGTGCTGGGCAGGGCTAGAAGCAAACACAGGCAGAGGGAAAAGCAAGTAAACTGGGGTCCTTTTTAAAGGCACAAAGATCATCCCTTACAGTGGTCACATTTCCTCAAGTACTCTTTCAGTTTAACAAAGACTCCATGCTGTCTTCCACGATTAGTAATACTTGGGAATCTTAAGGGTTATACTTTCATTTTGTAAAAATATAGAGATTCAGAGAGAGGTGGTGAGAGGGAGAGGGAAAGAAAGAGGGAGAGGAAATGAGAGAGAGACAGAGAGGGAGAGAAGGAGAGAGAGAGAAGGAGAGGGAGAGAGAGGGAGAGCTCCATGGTATGCATGGAGGTCAGAGGCCCACTTGGGGGAGCTTGGTTTTCTGTTCCCATCATGCAGGTACCAAGGATCAAACTCAGGTCATCAGTCTTGGCATCGTATACCTTAATGCTGAGTCATCCTGTCAGCCCTTTTAAAAGACTATGCTTTCAAAAAGCTCAGCTTCATAATAACTAATTATATGAGGCCATTATAAAAATAGCAAGAATGAAAAATTAATAAGAGTAGAAACAAATTGGAAAAACAAAAAACAAACACAAAAAACAAGGGAGAAGAGTTGCTTAGAGTCCTAAGTATTTCAAATGGCTCACAATGGTTTTAACAGTCCTGCAATAGACTGGGTAAGATCCTCTACACACGTCTTTGCAATGGCTGGAAGAGTGTCCAGAAAGCATTAAATAATTCAGATGCAATTGTTACTTACATGAGAACCGGAAAGGCCTTGCTCCTAGCCCACATTGCCTTATGCCTTCTCCGTGGAAAAGCCCATATTGCATCTCTCCCATGAACTTGCTCAGCTCCTCCCCTGAGGCATTGACAAGCAGAGCCCCTGTTTTGCAGAGGATGGTGGTTTTAATCCACAGTGGTGTCCCCACTGCTGCTACAACTCCAAGAGCACAGAGGAAGCTCAACACACCAGCCATGCAAAAGATGATTTTCTTCTGCTGGTTTGGCATGATGAGAAATGGCTTTGGTGAGGATGCGGGTCAAAACCAAGTCCTGTGTGAGCATCAAGAAGGAACTGCCCCTTCAGTGGCATTTATTACGGGAGCTGAAGGAACTAGCTGGAAAGGCAATGTCCTTCTCCACGATGGCTCCAGCAGGCATAATGCCAATCCATGAACTGTCCGTCTTCACCCACCGTGGGCTTTTCTCCTCTTCTGCTTTTTCTCTTTAAATAGAGATCTTTGGGCTAAAAAATATAGAATAATACTCCTTTTAAACTGCCTTCAAGATCCCCTCTCATGTCACTTACAAAGAAAGGTCTAGAGTAACAGATGGAGTCCTCTGTGTAACTTGAGAGAAGCCTCCCTTCCTTCAGCCTGTTGTCTGATTGGGTGAGCTGAAACCTTCAGAAACATGCTTGGCTCTTACAGTAAGTTTGCGGCAACGTGAGACGTTCACATATTGATGAGATTTTATTTCTGGGTTTTGTTTGCTTTTAGCAGCGGGAGAATGGGAGCTTTGGCATGGGTGATAGTAATTAATTGATTTTGAAAATGTTTAACTTTAGTTAGATGAAACATGGCATGGCACTGGGTCTGGTATAGACACAAAGATCCTAGAGCTACACAGGCCTTGTCCTCCTCACCCCCAGTTCTTCCACCCCCGTGTTTTCTATGCTATCTATTTAGAGAAAATTTGGTTCACATTCTTCTTGACAAGGAGAAATGCAGAGATGCAGTTGCAAATGAGTACATTTACAAGTACTTTCATTGGAAGCGCTTGGCTGTGTTAGTGCAAGAGTGGGGGAACTCGGTTCCAAGGAACAGTAGTCCATAAAGATGAGAGTGTTCATATAGAAGGAAGTGCTGTGTCAGACATACTCATACTCATCATCAGGTCTCCCAGAGGAAATAACCATTCGAGGGACAAGAGACATGGCTGAGCAATACCATGTAGCAGTGTATTTGCTTTAGGAATTAAGACCAGAAAACTCAAATGTGGAGTTCAGTGACTGCTTCTTAGCTCCGGGTGCCCATCGAGGTTCCTTGGGTGTGTGTGTGTGTGTGTGTGTGTGTGTGTGTGTGTGTGTGTGTGTGTGTGAACAGATATAAGAGGCCCCCTCTGTCTCTTTGTCTCTCTGTTTCTGTATTCAAGAAAGAGAGATTGTTCAGTGAGTATCTCATGTTATGCTGAGCTTGATACTCGTTCTTTATGAAGCATCTCATCAAAATTGCATTATTAACTCTTCAAAGTATTATAGTGAGACTATGCTGCTGCTTATCTTATTCCATTGTACAGACACAGAAATCGAGGCCAGAGAGACTAAACAATTTACGGAACTTACTTGCAAAGTTCTATGGTTTATATGTTATTCTAAGCAAAGCTTTGGCCTTAAAGGGAGGTGGGTGGTTACACTTAAGCTGGGGTTGCTTGGAAGTCACAAGGGAGGGTAGTCCATTGTTGTTTACACAGCTTAGGTCTCTGGAGAACACAGGTATCTGCAAACATAACTGCCTGGTTGACCCCGCTCCGCTGACCTGTTGTGTTAGTTTCTATTCTCTTAATCCACCTGTAAGACTATAGCTTTAAGGAAACTCACAACTGATTTATTTAATGTGAGCTGGAGATGAGTCTCTGCACTATGAATAGTTGGAGGGGAACTTTGGGGTTCCAGTCTCGAGGTAGAAGTAAAAAGTTCTGGCACACTATAGCTCTCAGGAATCGCTAGCCCCTGACTGTTGAGGATCAACGAAGTGTGGACTGGTTACGGTACAGCAATACTCCTTTGGAGCAGAGAAGAAGGGACAACATCAAGCCCAGCTTCAGAACTGGCATGTAAAATCCACACAGGCACTAAAAACAAGGTTTGAAAACATAAGTAAGGCCTTTTCGTGTATGTAATTTGACACATATCAAAAAGCTCCTCTCAGATAATTGGGCCCTCCAGTAAATTCTCTTACTGGTTTCAGTGTGCCAGTCATCACAGCCAAACAAGGGGAACACAGTCATTCCAGGTAGCACTTGCTTGCCTGTGGATATGTGCTCCACTCATTCCAGAAATATTAGTTTGAGAGTATCTAGATATAATGCAGTTTATTTGATCAACATATTTGGTAACTGGGCCAGCAAGGGGGGGGGGGGGACAAAAAACAAAAAACCAGAACATCCCTAAAGCTTAGGAAAAGAAATTTCAGCTTAATCAATTGTAATAATACCTCCATAGGAAGAATATGGCAAGAGAGGAGTAGTTATCACAGGACAGTGGTTTAATTACCAAAACCCTGCCAAAGGTATCTGAAGTCTACCAACACAGAAGACCCTGACTTCTGATGGAGAAAGCAATGTAGTTGTTTAACCTTTTAGGATTGCCCCAGTCTACAGAGAAGAGAACCCTATCTTAAGAGACACATGAAAATAACTACAGCGTAGTGAGTTAATTAATTAATTCCCCACCCTCAAGTCATGTCCATCTCCTCTCTTTAATAAAACAATGATAGTTAAAAAAAATTTTTTTTTTGTCTCTACTGAACACACTTAGATGCCGACCTGAAGTAAGCCTTTGTTCTAGTCAAGGTGTTCAGTTTGCCTGCTCAATGGCAACACTTGCAGAAATGTTTGAAACACCTTGTCTGCACCTCAGTTAAGGCTCAGCCGTGTTTGCTTTTCATGTGGCCTTAGCACTGAATCCACCGGATGATTGCAATGTGCAGCCAAGGCTGAACACCACTGCCCTCATTCACTCCCAGAATAACTTGCCTCTGATTGTTAGTCAGGCTTCTCAGAGCTGGAACACACAGAAGACTGTCCTTATCCTGGTTGCTAGGGAGGATTATTGCCATGATAAATTAATGAACAGGCACTGAGATCTAGAGCTCCAGCCTCCCCACATTCCTTCAGCATCGTGTGCATGGCTCCTCTACCTGTCCCCAGGAGTAAGGTGAGATGTGCCTACCCCCAGTTACTATCTGCCATTTCAGTAGTGACAGATCCTGGTCATGGAAAGCAGCCCCCCCCACCTTGGGACCCACACCCACCTCATCTCTTCCCAGTGCAGCTTCCTTTCAAACTTGAATGTCAACCACCCACAGACTGCATAGTAGTGTGTGATCCGCCCTCTGAGGGTGATATAATGGAACCTGGCAGTCATTAGGTTGACAGCCTTCTTTTGAAATTTCATCTTAAGTGGCTTGAATGACAGTGATGACACTGTCTTCCTTAAAGTCTCTCTGAGAATTTGAGTCATTAATGTCAGCAAGTTTTCACCAAGAATCTTACTGAAACCTTCACTTCTTTTCATCTTAACATTTGGTGACATTAAGAAAATGGAACCAGGCCTAGCCCTCTCCCCTGTGGCCGTTTTCAGGTGCTGGATAATAATATAATTTTTCGGAGCGACTAGAGGGCTAGAGAGGAAGGAGCATAATTGTAGGCCATTTTTGCTTCCAATACAAGCATCAATGCCTCTTTTCGTGCTAATTCAGCTGCATTCTTCTTCTTGTTATTACTATTATTACCATTTTGAGAGAGGAGAAAGATAGAGAAGAGAGAAAGAAAGAAGGGAAGACAAGAAAACAGGGATCAAATACTCACCATGTTTGTTCCTTATCCCTCAACCACACCTAGAATATAAGACACAGCATAGCTTGGGTTGTAGAAGAAAGATGTTGGGTTCCTCGTTCAACTGAAAATTTTCTCTGGCAATCACTTTGTAGATTTATGAACATGGTGGCCTCATGCACGCTGGTGATGCTCGCATAATTTCTAAGCAGAAAAAACTATGTTCACTTGCATGAAATAGCAATGAAGTGGGAACTGCTGGGATGCCAGTGTGGCAGCGATGACATTCTCACTCCCAGCCTTCTACTGAACACTCCCTGGAGCACCCCACTCCAGCTTTGGGAAACACACTGTGAATGCTAATACTCTCTGGGTCTGAAATGTGTCCTCTCGCTTATTTGCCTTCTTTCTTTCCTGTCCGAATCAGATACCTACAGAAGCATGTCACAATACCTAGGTGCCCTGCATGGATGTCTGTTCTAATTATTAACTTGTTGATTAATGCAAAGAGCTGCATTTTATCTGACTTTTCATTGGTAGTAATGATTTCTGTTTTATATTTTTTTCATATGGCTCATAATGGTCTAGGACCTCTGTAAGAGAAATTCAACAAGGCTTTGAGGAACATGCTATTCTAAGACAGGAGGCCTTTGTAAATCTATCCTATTTTTTCATCTTTAAAGCAAACTCTAGCAAGTTTGATTGACATTCCTTGACTAATTCAAGTTGCTGGTGATCTTCAAGTCGCATTGTAATTCTCTAATGACTATAAGGGGGGAAAAACACTTCATAGAAAGAATTGATTGATTTATTAGAGGGAAAATTACCACATGTGCTAGACCTTGATTGCAGCTAATATTTGTAGAGCTAATTGCCTGAACCAGAGGATTAAAAGGATTGAGGGAAGGAAAGAAAAGTTCTCCTGGAATACTGATGAATCCGCAGTGGGTTCAGGCTGGGAGGGAAAACCCAAGAGTAGGTGCTTTCAGGGCTACTGGTTTGTGGCATTAAGAAAGAACCAGACATAACACATCTGGCACAGAAAGGCAGCAGGGATAGAGAGAAGGTGCTTTCCTGTGGTATGCCAAAGAAGATCCCATGGCACCATCGGACTTGTCTTGCTTTCTTGTTGGAATGTCATGCCAAGGCTATGTTGGCATGTAAAACCATAACCCAAGACTGGAGATGTCATTCAGTGTGAGTGTACTAGTTTAGAGGGTGCAAGGCACTGGGGGAGATCCTTACCCTGCAAACAAAAGGGAACAATGATAACAAAAGCAACCCTCTCAACCCAGCGATCCGATCCGGGCAAATGTCTAACTGAGCTAATTACATTGAGGTAGGAACAGTCACTTAATCTAAAGAGCCATTGTGGTTTGAGATGCTTCTGCCAACAGTAAGAAGCCAGCTTTATAGTACAAGGAAATAGGTAAATAATCTTCTGTCTTATTTAAGATTACTATTGTTATGAAAAGACACCATGACCAAAGCAACTCTTATAAGAGAAAGTATTTAATTGGGACTAGTTTCAGAGGTT